CTTTGTTGAAACCCATTGATCATGAAATATAAGAATATGTCTTTCGACTGATGTCCATCCAACAAGTTTTACTATTGTACTATATAAAGTTGAATCAATAAATTTCCAAATCATACAAAATGTTGGTGTTTGTATCCAAACAACATCATATAGAAAAAGATACATTGACCAAGGAACAGTTGTTAATTCCCAAATAAGACACATAAAAAGAATAATAATTATAACATGATTATGTAAACCACGACGAAGATTTGAATCAAAAAGAAAATGATAAAGAACAAAAAGACAACAAATAAATGAGAAAATATTTGAAACGAGAAAAACCCAAAAGCGAACGATATACGGTATAGCAATACCATCATCGAATACGAATTTAACGGTAATACTTGAACTAATGTTTGATGTTGACATTCTCCAAACTGTAAAATATAAGAATAAATGATGCACTGAAAAATCCTTCTGAATAAATATGAAAGAGAGATGAAAACACTAACGACACAATAAATATAAAGAATGTTAAAAACGAGTGTAAACGATAAATTAAATATGACACATATGTCTTGATCAGTGTGTTCATATACCGTAATTAGTTCTTTTTTTAATTCATTCATATTTACAAAAATTCGCCATTATTATGATGTTATAAGAGTAACTAACAGGAAAAGGTCATTCACAAATTTGATTAGATTCTGTTAATTGATAAATATAAAAGATTATTGAATTGATTGGATTTCTATATAATATACAAATATATTATAAATAGATGTTTAATATATGTATTCATTTAACTATTATCGATATTTGAAATTGTTCAGAAGATTTAATATTTATGTTTTTTTCGAACTATTAGAATTTAGTTAGAAAATTGAAATATAATAATAAATAATTCTTAAAAAAAATGTTTCTCTGATATAATTTTTCTTTTATTTATTAGATTTTATTATATATGAAATGTGTGAATATCTTGTTAGACAGATAAATATAATTTATTCATTCGTTTTCATAGTTGAAATACTAATCTTTCTTGTCTACTTTTCAAAATATTTCATCTTTAATTAATAAGAAATCTTCATAGAATATATCTTATGAATAAAACTCATAAATTGTATCTAACACATTTAAGAAAGAATGCCTTGTTTTTGAATATTTATTATTAATACCGAAAAGATTTTTGTTAGTAAAGATTATAATTTTTAATACTAAAAAGAAAAATGGAATAAACCTTTTTTTAACAATTGATTCTTTGTTATTTTATAGAATATTCAAATGAATTTGTACAACATATATTTCAAAGTATTTTCTTTTTCAATAATTCTAATTAGTAGAAAAATAATAACATTAATTTTTGCAACTTCTTTTATTTTTTGTATAATTTTCAAAACTGATTTATTTATCTACAACAAATAAAAAACTGTTTTAGAAAATCAATGATTTAAAAGTTTTATAAACAAAAAAAATATTTATTCAAATCGAAGAAATTAGTAATATAAAATTTTTTGTATCCGATAATTTGACCGATCAATGACATATAAATTAAGTTGATTATCAAATGTTAATGAAAAATTAAGAAGAGTAGAATTATTTCCTAAAATATCTATAAAATGATAATAAGATATATGTAAAATCTAGTATTAAATGAGAGCGTTTTGTGATCTATTAATATCTAATATATTATTCTCAATCGTAAGAGATACATAAATCATAAATATAAAATTGTCACGCAAAAGAAATATAAGAAGGACAGCAAATTTTTGTAGAAGAGGAATTTCTTCCTTATTGTATAACTGATATTTATAGAGGAAAAGAACTAACTGACTATTCATTTTCTCTTTTCTTTTATCAGCATAGACATTAGTATATCTATCGGGAGACAACATTTATCTAGATTAGCTGTCAGTTGTTCTCTTTTCTGATTTTTTTCTTTAACTGTTGAAAGAAACGACCATTATTTATTGATATATCAGCATAATGTGTTTAGTACAGATTCTTTTTATTTACTTTCTTTGCGTATATTAACTGTTACAGCTGTAATGTAATAAGGTAAAAACGATTATGAAAAGGATAATATTTTTTTATACGAGAACTATATTTATTCTATAGGTTATTATTTTCAAAAGAAAGAATATTCTACGAGAGAGAAAAAAAATAATAATGTCACATAGTTTTCTGCGCTACTTTTACTTTGATTTCAAGTTGAAAACTTCGTGATGACATACTTAATGATAAAGATGGACGTTGTATTTTTACTATTACTACTAATATTGACATTCAAATGGGGAACATTAGCGATGAAATATAAATCGAAGGAAGAAAATCACGATTTTAAAGTAGCACTTAGCGATAACTTTATCATTGGCGTTTCGAATCTTCGAAAAACTTATATTTTTTATTCGATATCTAATGAAAGTCAAAATTCGTCATGTATCATTAACAACCCGCATAACGAACTCAATATCTACGGTCTTTCAGCCTTGACAATGAAACAAAATAATATTATCTCTTTCGTTCAACTTGCCGAAAATAAGACATCTAAATCTACTGTAATAACTCGAATCACTATGAATTTGACAACATGTGGTAATAATCTAAAACCACAGCCTGTTTTTCATCATACAACTGTCTGGAACGAAGATCATCAAGAACATATGTTTCTAAAAGTTGATCCACAAGAAAAATTTGCTTACGTTTTTGCCGATTCATTTATACTTTCTTACGATTTGTTTACCGATCAAATCAATCAAATTAACAAAACTAATTCTATCGTTTTCGGTAACAGTTACGGATCGTTTGCTCCTTATGCGTTTGATTTAAAAAATGATTGGGCTGCTGTTGCAGGATTTCATTTAGTTCAAAATTATTCTCGAAGTAAACAATGTCTTTATATATTTGGACTTCAACCACTACGTATAATGAATGTGAGTGTTATTGGTGCGGACGATATTCAAGGAAGTGAAAGAACTAGCTACACTCGAGATTATGAAATGTCACTTTCAATTAACCCTTCGGGAACGACAATAGCTATTGGTGAACTTCAACTAAATAAAGTGACAATTGCGTATTTGGGTGGTAATGAATCACATCGATTTGTTTCGAAATTTCACGAGATTAGTGAATCTGAAAATTGGTCCGGTTTTGGTTATTCAATTAGCTGGCTCAATGATGATAATACACTCGCTGTTCTCGTGCTCAAATCGACAAATCACACTTCGTCGAAATCGGAAATACAAGTATATAAAAACATATTTCTTAATCGAACTCGTGGTTCAATCGTACCTACCTTCGTTATTCCGAATAATCAACAGACCTTGATGAGTATTCAACGTTCAAAGTCTTGGCGTAAACATTCTTTCCGCCGTATTCGGACACGCTCGAACAATTTATTAATCCAGCTAAAAAATGTTGATATCGTATATATTCCATCTGCTGATGCCGGCTTTTGTTCTATGGAGCCCGTATTGATCAACTTTCTAAATCTGTACGTCTTGAAACCAAGACCATGTGTAAGTGGATCTTATAAGAATACATCTGGTCCTGGTCCGTGCACGATTTGTCCACCACGTACAAAAAATCCTGGAAATTATCCGTCAATTCAATGTCGACCTTGTAATTTAACTGCGTTTTGTTCATTGGGCGCTAGTGATGATGTCAATTTAACTGACTTTAATTCGTATATTCAAACATTCAGTTATCCAGATACACCTATTATCGATGACTACGATGATTTATTATTATTAAAATTTTTTCCTGCTAATATTGAATGGAGTTGTTTCATTTTTACGCCTCTTTTCTGGACTCTAATGGCTACAATACTATGTTTAATGGTATGGTTTATTATGTTTTTTATTAAACGACGACGTCTAAATTCGATCGATATCTACCGTCAACGAGCGAAGATCGTTTTCAAACATACCGATCTTATTGGCGAAGGAGAACGATGGATTGGTGGTCTCGCATCAGTTATCATTTTTACTATCATCATATATTGTACGATATTTGCCATCTTTTACTTCTATTCGTATCCCATCGAGAAAGCAGAGGCGGTCGATAAAACATGCGGTAATACTCAACGAAATACGAAATTCGATAATGCACTTCAACTGCCCTTACCTGAAACTGATGGTACTTATTGGAAAATATTCGATATGCTCAACGAACAACCGTTCACTATGACTATACATCTAGTAAATACACGAGCTCAGTGTAATGATATCACTGTTGAACGTAACAGACGTACGGGTACTCCTTTATCAATAGTCGAAACAAATTGTACACTGTCACCAAACAATGTTAGTGGTTCGTTTAGTTTTAATCTACCTACTCATAAGTCCTCTGTTCGAGTTGGTATCAATGGGCCGTACTTCATCGGAGCACTTCGTATTTGTCTACATGGAAAATCTCATGCTGAAACTGATGATTTCGCAGTACATGAATTGCACGAACTTGATGTATGTACTCTTTTCTATGCGAATAATCAAACGATTGGACGTTCGACTGATTTCATTGTACGTCTCATCAAAGTTATTAATGTAACAAAGCCATTACATCGAAATGATAGAACATATTACGGTGGCATATTTGCTCCATTTATTACATATACCGATATTCTCTCGGATGAATTGTATTTTGCAGAAAAAGGAGAATATTTACGATATTCTTCTAGACAAACGACTGTTAATATTCAGCTTAGAGAAGAAATTTATTTTGTTCAAAACAATCAATCACCCATTATTCGTCGAGGAGCACTTTTCTTTCATACACTTCTCTTTAGTATTTCACTTATAGAAATATTTGCAATGTTTTTTCTTCTTTACAAGCTCTGGTTTTATCCTATTCATCAACGTATTCAAAGATCTCAAAATGATCCAGCTGAAGATGTGCTCCAGTCGAGTCAGTCGCACATCACTATAGATGTAAATTTTGTTTTCTAACCCTAGAAATCTTTTATATCATCAAACAATAGTACTTCATAACTAATTTATATTTTTTTTTCAGTTGAATTCACAGTTGTCACGATCATCAAAACTGCGACCGCTACTTACGACGAAGAGTGCAAATTGCCAGTGGAATCGAAAAGTGAAGACCAATCAAAACGTTCAAAAACGCCAACGTACAAAGAATAGTGCAAAAATCCCGACCAAGTCAGAAGTTGTTGAATACTTGGATAAACCATTATCTTTACCATCTCCTTTAATGACTTCATTGACTATCATCGCTAATGATCGTTGAAGGTGTAAGATTAAATCTAATTAAAAACTCATCATTATATAAAAAAATAAATCTACTTAATTTTTTTCATCTATGATTACGATGAAATCGATAATCATATACGTTTGTTGTATAAGTATCTTTTCTTCATCATTAAAATTAACAATACTAAGGAGGTGGGTGTGGGTGTGAGAATTAATCATTGATGCACTCGAAAAAAATCCTATTTCTGAGTACTTGAACACTGCCATATTCTTTAACAGACGATCTAATATTTTTTTCAATCTGAAATACATTCAACAAAAGATGAGTCGTGTGATAAAAATCGATTTTATCTCAGTATTGCTGAACACATTGAAAAACTGAAACAGTTTGATATACATTTATTTTGTAAAACAAAATGTATTGAGAAAATAAAGACGTCATTAACGTTATTATTAGTTTTCCCAGTTTTACTAAGTTTCTATGTGTTACCATCGTTTTATTCACAATACACACACATATTTTGTTATTGCACAGTGTACTTGTATAATTTCTATTGTAACAAATGTAAGTTTACATCCTTTTACAAATTGTCTATCTCTATATATTTTATATTATCTTTTCGTGAATCAACTACATTTTTTTAGAAATAACAAATAACAAAGAAAATGTCTAGCTTATATTATGCATCTCAATTTGTCATAAAAGAACACAGTAGGTTTCTGTTATTATAAGCATTGTTTATTTTTGGACTTAAGTATGGCCATATAGTATACTTGAAGAAATTGAATATATATGAAATTAGGCGTATATTATTAGAATAGATCCGTAGACAATAAAAAAATAAAACAAAGATTACGTTCACAAAAATTGAGATGGAGAAAGTATTCGTTAACTCGATATAAAACAGGATAATATCTCATATTTAAAAGTTGAGGGTGTGGAGTGAGTGTGGGTATCTGTACTTCAACCATACCCACATCGATACCAAGATGTAGACTTTTTTCTAAAGGTATCTTCATATGACTTTCTATTTGACAAGAAGAGCTTAAACATGTTGTTATCTAATTTTTTCATGAAACTCTAAAATATCTCATAGATGTTGTTCCAATGATTGAGACAAGCGACATTCTTAATTCTGTATATTATGATATTAGTAAGAGTGAAAATCAATAATTAATCTCTAGTTGAGTAAAGTGAACAAAGAAAATATTTTATTTCAGTAGTTTTTTTTTTCTTCCAGGAAACTTTGTATTTTCTCTCGAACAGGTTGATTGTCAATGTTGTCTTAACAATAAACACGTTAAACTTTTACTAAAGCAGCTTGCTTCCGCATCCTACCTATAAAACGTCGGCGTTTATATCATGAATTCAGTAATATAGATGGTGACTAACTTACATCTGCTATCATTTTGTTTCAGGCTAATGTTGGAAAACAACAGAAATTGTGTTCACTGCTTGATATGATTAATTTCAGTAAATATTTTATATTGACGTCAAAATATATATGAATTTAGTTACTTTTTAAATGAGCAGTTTTTTCTCAATATCACATCACTTTTTTTACTCAGTATTTAACGAGTTTGTGAAGGTAGGAGTTTATAGATAATCAGAAACGCTATAAGATTTAAGTATCTTCTATTAGGTTAGCATTATTTTAACTTAATGAGCGTCAGTTAATATCGATGGTGGTGTATCAAAGAGTAAAAATCGCATCCTAGACATCATCAAGATCCAAAAGGGTTTTTGAGAATTGCTTCACTCGAAAAATATTCTCACTAAATGAATGAATTAATCGCGAAATTATAGACAAATGCATACAAAACAAAGGATGTATATGTGAGTTTAGTTGGCACTATTGGTGTCAACAACACTAATATATTCACCCTCCTCGAAACCGTAACACTCGCACTCTTATATTTAAATCAAATTCTTCTCAGCAATTTATTGTTTTAGATAAAAACACAATTAAATAATCTTTACCATAATCAATTTATTCAAACAATTTATTGATGAGAATGAATATTAAAAAATATTTTCATTGGTTTTATCAGTTCTTATTGAATTGCAATCTCTTTGTTCCAGAACCCAATGATTATGATGATGATGACGATGATGTTGATGCGACCGAACAAACAAACCCACAAACTATTCTCAAACA